AACATCGTTGTTCGTTGTGAGTATAGTTCTGTTTGTCAGATCTTCGCTGTCAGCCATGTTGGCAACATCACCATATATCTCGTTAACGATGTCATCGCACATATCGTCAACATAATCGTTGAACAGCCCAAGTGCATCCTGCGGTCCGTTGAACACACAGATGTATGCAAACAGCTTTCTGATGTGGTCAGATGTCTCTGTCATTGCAGCTTCGCTCAGCACGTTCTTTCATTCACTGTCATCCTGCAGAAGATTTCTTGCCCTTGCTGCTTCCTCGAATGTGCCATATACAACATTGTTGGCACTTCTTAAGTCGTCGAATGACGTGGCACCTCTCACATTGAGCAAGAGCATTCTCAGATAGAATCTCTCCTTTTCCTCTGGATTGACCACATACAATCTTGTAATGACTTTGTCCTCACCTCGTTGTCGCAATACCCATCGGCTGTTCTGGTACACATAGTGATATGGAATGTCGGTGTAGAGATATTATCTGGTTATTTTTTACTGCAACTGGTATTATTTTTTTGGAACATGCACAATACCAAAGTGCTTTTTTAAGAACTGTGCACAGAGCACAGGAACATTTTGCAGACTCTCGTAGGTCCGATCAATAAATAAAGCTTTGCCGCGGTAGACAATCAGCTGATCATCTACAGCACAGACAAAACCACCAGGATTTAACAATTGTGTTTTTTCTACCAAAAACTTTTCAGTCGGTGTATTGTCAGAATCTGGATACATGATGCATTGACTTCTCAACTTATTTATAGTTTTGATTCTTCCAGAAAAATGAACGTTAGTCAATGATGAGAACATACAAACTGTTCACCAAAACATCTGTTTAACTGTGATATTATGTTCTGTTACATTGACCAAAAACTCACTTTTACATCCATTTCTTTGTATTTTATTCTTTTTCTGGTAGATCATCTAAATATATTGTAAATGCTATCATGATTTGTAACAATGTTAAGGAAATCAAACAAAAGTTAAAAGTGCAGATATGTTATTTATTTCATGCATTTTGATTAGACGTGGTGGTGTTCATAAAAACAGCCAACCAAATATTAGTAGGGGTTGAATAAATAAAAATAGGATGAAAATACTGTGTGTAAATGATGACTAAGTGCTTCTCGGAAAGAATGAGCTGCAAAACAACTTTAGACTCTTCATGCAGTGCGAATACGTGAAACAAACATTTTTTATTTTTCTCGATGGGTCAAATAATTAATTTCTCAGAATTGATCAATCAGCTTCTGAGTTGTCTTTTTATTCATATGAGATGATAGGCTCTTGGTGGGGTATTGGATGTGCCATAAAAGTGTTTTCATTTCACGGTAAAACGAATCGATAGCGATCAAATCATTTTGCTTGTTAAGAAAAAGGAAGTTAAAATACGACAGGTATTGCGAGAAACGCATGATGTTTCTTATGGAATCGTTAAACTTTTCATAACCGATCCTGTTGTTGTCTTGCTGAATTTGAAAAAGAAACAGCCAGCTGTCCATGAGGAGACCTAAATATGTATCCATTAGTGCCCGCACCTCTGCAAACTCAGTCATATTATACAAAGAAAGGTCTCCCTGGATTCTTTTATGTGTCTGAGATACAAATGAAATGCATCTATCGATGTTTTGTCTCGGTTTCTTCCATGATAATACTTTTTCGTCTGTAATTTGATTGTTCATCGATACAACGAGCAATTTATTGGCTTTCTCGAGTTCGACTTGCGATTTTCTCAGATTTTGTAGGATATTGTAAAGCAATCTGTACATCGGAATAAGCTCCCAGGTCCAAGCAGTATATTCATTAAGTAATTCTGAAAAAAAATTGCTGATACCAGCATTATTAAAGGAAACAATCGGCTCGGAATGTAAAAAACTAGATGAGCCGGTAGCTATCGCCAAAAGATGTTCACGACATTTTGATCTGTGCAATTTGAACATGTGACAGTTTGCAGCATTGTCGTTTTCTAGCTGCTCTACAATCGATATTATTAGTTTTAGGGCAGCTGAAATTTCAGCCTTTGTATTTTTATCAATACCGAGTCGTCCATGATGATTTGGTGCCATAGTTCTAAACACTCCATATGGATCATTAGCAATGGATATCGGCTTATCGCTCTTATGAGCCCGTTGTTTGGAACATTGATTGTACGGCTTGTTCTTTTCGGGATCAATAACAGTTTGTAGAGGTGTATTCTTGTCTGTATGTTCCTTTTCCATGCTTTCTACAATGTGTTTATCTCTCAAAATTTCTGAAGGCATTTCTAAAGCTGTATGAGGTGTTGCATTAATCTGTTGAACGGTAAATTCCGATTCTACACCACTTGATGCAGTAGTTTCGACGTAATTTGGAAGTGATCGTCTTTTACGAGCATTTGTTTCGTCACCTGATAAACTTTCTACTGCACATTTTCTTTGTGGAATGATTTTGCCTAAAATTTTCTGATAGGCGCTTTTAGTCGGTTCGTCCTCCGTGTAGTTTGCTTTATGAGGTATTTTACAGTTTTCTTCTTGTCGAACAGCATATGTATCCCAATCATTTCCTGATGTATGTGATTTTTCGCTATTTTTATCTTCCGCTGTTTCTGTTGACGTAAAGGCACCGCTCCCTCTGTCACTATTTGAAGTGGTATATTGTGTAGTGCACTCATTACTACCTCCAGCAATACACAACATAAAGTTTCTGCTTCTGCGTTTTTCAGCTGGCAAAATCATTGTATGTCTGCGAACTTGCTCGTTTTTCTTTTCTACGTTCTTTTTAATGCTTCCCTCACACATAAACATAAAAACTACTATCGCAATCAATGTTCTCATGGTGAACGTATATAATTTGTTTTACACTTTTATATACCTAACGGGAAATATTTAGTTAATAATTTGACACATGTCATCACAAACATTGCATTTAGAGATATTGGCTCATATCTACGTGCTTTCTAATCCAAAATCGGAAAGAAAGAGTGTTGGTTCTCAAGCAATGAAAAATTTATCGATTCGCCGCAAGCAAGCGACATATTCCGAAAAAAATGCATGGATTTATTGCACTAAACGTATTAACAGCAAAAATGTTCTTTAAAGCATATTATTTCACAATTACTGTGCAGGTATCGTGCATTCCAACAAAAACTCATATTTTTCTCTTAAAGCATTGTTTATTCACAAATGGTACTTTTGCTTTACAGGAATATTCCAATATTGGTGTACTTCTTCGATAATAATGTTTATTCTGCGGTATATCATCAACATGCTGCATATTTGAATAATTTGCTTTGTTTTATCGATTTAACACTGTCTCTGCATTTTTTCAGAATGCACAACATTAATCACATCAAATCTTCCCGGTATTACCAAAACAATTGCACCGCTAATAATCCTATTATAAATGACAAGCGTTTCTCAACTCATATAGTTAAATTACCTTCATTCTAATGCTTGCGTGCAGTAATAATTAAATTTACCAATTTTTGTATTAATTTAATTGCTATATGAATAAAAAGTGTAAAAATGATGGCACAAAACACTGAGTTCATCGTAAATGTGTAAATGTAGCGAACGTGTACCATGATAACGCACTATTACACGCAGAAGTGTAAAAAAATGGGTATATCCGATATATGCCCAAATTTTTGTATGAATGATGTTAAATTCGATGAGACATTTCTCTGTTCCGCTGCGATCGAACATGGCCATTGGTCTTTAGTTCATGGAGGACTCCTGTTTGTGTGGCAATCATCATGGTCAAATACAACGTTTTGCTACACAGACCATGGACGTAAGAAGTAATATCACTACGCGCGACAGGGACTTTGACCGCATGCTGACAACACACGTAAACCTCCTCTCAGGAGTACCCCAAGCTTACCGTCTCAAGGATTCCTGTTTCATGATTCCACACAAGGCTCAAAGCCTTTCTTCTACCACTGGCTATCCATCATCACAGTTTTTCATCTTTCATCTAATTTAACTTTTTTCTTTATTGGACCAGTTCGCTAAGAAAACGCTTTTACTCTATTTTAGACATATAACGTATCGTTTCCGTCTTTACAGGCAGATTGTGCCTGTTATCACAGGTTTATTGGCTGTACTCAAGACTGACAAGACGACTTTGTTGGCACCACAGTGCTGCTTTAACCCCATAAAGAAGTTTCTTGTGTCCGCATTACGAATGCGAGTATTGAAAAAATGGCAGACCTAAGACCACCAGCAGAACTGACAGAGTACCAGGGCAAGCGGCCTAGGATAAGGGGCTAAGCCAACTGTCCAGAGCCAGACAACTGGCATGCAACATTAATCGCGCATGAAACCCAAAATTGCATGTTATCATTCGGGATTACGTTGCAACCATTCCAGGCAGTGGTAGTGATCTTAGCACACAACCTGTGAATTGCATGGCCCTCACAGGAGCATCTCAAGAACTTTTCTTGCTGAGACGAGCAGTGAACATGCCATACAGTCCACCTCTGTAGGTTGCACAGGGAATAGAACAGATTTGATTAAAAGCATTTTGATGGGTGTTTACGTGTGAGGACCGGTCTCATCCCATGGTATACACCGATCGCCTTCCTTTCTTGCCCGTATTACCACGTTTATGTTAAGACAGGATGGTAAAGGTATGCAGAGGTATATGTGGTTATCTACATTGGTGAAAGGCTGCTTTTTAGGGCACATTCCGTGTGCCTCTACCTCAAATATTTTGTTTAAGCGAAAGTATACCGTTGAGATGCGCTCGCACAGTGTCACCACGTATGAAAATAGCTACGATGTATTCGTCGTTATTTCTATCAAACGCTACGTATGATACGGTATCGGTCATCGGTTGCAAAGATCTATCTCGCTGTCCTTTAAACGATAGTCCCGGGCCAACCGTTTTACATCGCGTGTGTTTTATTTTCTTAAAGGAGCATATTTTATCCTTTCTAAGCTATTTATTGTGGTTTGATATGTTTGTGTAGCGTAGTGGTACGAAGTAAAAATGTTTTTTGTAGAAATGCTGATTATGAAAGTGCCTTTACTATGCATCTTAGCATGGTAAGATAATTGAACAAAAACAGAACATAAAAATGGCTTGAACGTTTAATTAAATCTGCTAACTTTTGTTGTATCCACCATTTTGCCATGCACTACGTAGCTTCCTCTTTTTTTCTTTCGTCTCCTGATACACCAAACAAAAAGGAAAACCAAAAGGAATAAAAACGGAACTGCACAAACTCCTACAATGAGGGCAGCGTTACCCGAAACTGGTTCATGTGCTAGGTTCAATCGGTGCGAGGATGGGAACATGAGGAAGCTCCCTCTTTGGACCAAAATCAATGCCTTTGACAATCGAAACACCTTGACAGTGTATATAATCTTTAGAATCGATGCAAGATAATTTAACCAGCTCCATTTTGTCATCATTAGGGTTTACAGAATCATCGTACGTGTCGCAATTCACAATTCCAAAATTATTTTTAGAACAGATCGCCTTGAAATCAACTGTATTATCATAACCGAATGGTTGATTCAGCGATCTCCCAAAACATTTCGTATAATTACCATTAGTTTCATAATTCAGTTTCATTGTGGACATTTCTGCGCCACTCGATTTCGCAGAGGACTCTGGTTCCATAAAAGTGATAAAACCTTTGCTCATGTATTTATCTTTTTCAGTTTCATTAAAGTCCATACCAAACAATTTCACACCAATAGACATATCCTTCTCATCGTTTAACCATGTCTTACATTCGGCACTGCCATCCTTTTTACAACATCCTGCGTAAAACTTGATCTTCTTGGAATGACTGCGTTCCGTGTTAGTCTGTGGTTCATGACTTAGCTCATTCGGATTTGTCACACCATGTCCTACTTCCGATGTACTTCCAATACGGTCTTCTGCCACTGTGCCGAGAGTATGCGATTCATTATCATGTGTTAACTCCTCAGTATCATGTTTATCCTCTTCTTTACTCTTTTCGGTGGTACTATTAACGTGTGAAGTGCTGTTACGTACCATTATAAGTTGTTATATTCATTTTGCGGTGCTTAAATACTTTCAACGATGTATTAATTAGCCATATACAAAAATATTGCATATTTTAGGTTAATGTGCTCTATCGAGCAAAGCATTCGTATGCAAACACACAATTCGTGTTTAAAGAGTAATCAATGCTTGTACTGATTGATGAGCATTTTCTCTTTTTTTTAGTACGTGCGTATTGAATGGCTGTGAACACGGCAGTAAACTACGCTTTTATTATTTTGAATCACAATCAATGATATATGAGGTATTTTGAGAGTACTGTAACAATCAAATGAATTTAACTAAAATTTTAAAAATGAAGAGAAAAAAATGAAAAGCAATAATTTGAATGAAAATACGTACGGTCTACCAAATTGTATACATACGTACAAATATTTTATATATTTTGCTGTTCTGTATTACTGGTTGAAAAAATGGCGTACTAAATTTAATTATCACACCTATTCCTTTTTGGGTTGCTGCGATAAAAATTAATGAAGAAACTTTTAAACAACTTATACTCGGCTTAGGACAGAGTATAACATGGTTTTGTACCAATGTAGAATATTTAAGGCTGTACAATATTTTAGCAGTAAATATTATTATTCTTTTTAGAAGGAGCTCATACTATTGAGGTAGTGTACCACTTACCACAACTATACGCTGGTACTGAACGTTTGTTTGTGATCTGCGCTACTGGACCTTAAGAATGGCCTTGTTATTAACGTTGAGAAGGCTTAGTATACGAAATATTAACTGTGTAATAAATCAGTCCAATCCACAGTGCTATAGAACAAAGGAAACCAAGCAAAAGTTAAAACCTTAGTTCGTCACTCTTGGAAAGTATTTTATTGCTATGTGAGATCATGAACTACTCACAGCAAAAATAACACGTAAAAAAACGTAAAGAATGCGTCTTTATTTAAACAATCACAAGCCTTAAACCTTATCACTCTCGTACACATAAATGCCATCTTCCACGTTATAGTCCACAAATCTCTTGTGCCTGTCATTCTTAAGCTCATAAATAAACCGCTCCACATTCTCCCGTCTGGCAGGCTTTACATTCTCAACGTAAACACGTGCCCTCTTACCCAACACGCTCGAAACGCCTCTGCTATCAAATACGTACCTCTGAATGCTATCCTCTCTCAGCAGATACGGATCCATACTTTCCAAAAACTCTATCTTTCCTTTACCGGGAAACACTATGCTCGGATTTGACACCTGGCTCTGCTCCACCACGTCTTCATATTTAGGTATGCTGTATGGTTTGGCATTTGCATGCTTGTTCATCCGTATGAACGGCTTATTGTCGGGCTCACGTACGTTAAAAATGCTTTTGTAAAAGTTCTTCTTCAATTTGATACTCGGCTTTTCTATGTGTTCGAATGTCAGTCCCTCGAACAGATAAGGATCATTCAAATTGTAATTGCACACCGTGGGCTGTACAGCTGGCCCACTAACGGGCGGTACAGATGTGTAATACGGCTGTGGTGTGTACGGAGCGGGCTGCTGAACAAATGTGGATGGCTGTACGTTTGAGCTGCTTATTGCAGGTTGAGTATTCATGAAAGAGGGCTGTGTTGGTGCGGGTTGTAGAAAACTGGCAGTCGGTCCATGGAAGGACTGAGTTTGCATTGGCTGACTCGCAATACTCTGTGACTGGAACGGTATGCTCTGTGTGGGCTGGACAGCTGTATCGGCAGGCCTGTTGCTCTGCAAAAAACTACTCGGCGCTGATATAGGATTGTATGCACTGCTCGTTGCAGAACCAATGGTATTGCCCGGTGCTGTGGAGGACAAGCCCTGTAAAAAGCTCGGCTGTGCTGCGCTCGCTGGCTGCGCCGATCCAGTGTTGGAGATACCACCAAACAATCCGGTACCGGTTGTTGAAAGCTTCGAGACTGCTCTCTTCCTTCCCAGTTCGTAGTCTTCGTGGCGAATCTCATCAACGCTCTTACCATTATAGCAATTCATGGCCGTTATATCGACCAACTCAACCAAACTCATAGAATCATCTCGGGTGTGCGTCTTCTTGTACGTCTCAACTGATGACCCGCGCTTTTCTGATGATGCAAGCCATGACGGTTTGGTATAGTCGTACGTGGTGGCAGATGGTGCTTTAAACGATGAATAACCCGGTGTATCGTACGTAGTGCTACCTGTCAATGGTGTATATCGAGTTCCCGACACTCCGAAATTCGTTGTAGGCTGGTAAGTGCCAGTCTTATTATCCGCAGAGAAATAGTTATTGGTCGTAGAGAAAGGATTGGTGCCAGCACCAAAACCACTTTTAAAAAGTCCGTCAGTGCCCAAATTCGATTGGGCATTAGTCATCGCATCAGCGGTACCCTTCTGCTCGAATAAACCGGTATTTCTGTTGGCGTTTGAATAGTTGGAGAGGAAAGGTGTCTGGTAGCTCTGTGACGGCTGCGAGCCGAAATATGAAAATGGTTTTCTGTCGTTTTGACTCATTTTTGAGAACAGGGGGCTAAAAATAAAAATATGTTTTATTGATGGATGGTACACGGCACATTTTACGATGTGGTGTGAAGAGCGTTCTCGTTCGGTTAAACCGCTTTGCAGAAATAGAAAGAGCCGTTGGTATGTTCTGCTCCACAAGCAAGTAAATTTATTTGACATTCCATGGCGACGTAGTTCCCTCAAAGGGTCTCTATGACCTTATGTTGGGAACCAGTTCCGTATTAGTGAATTGCGCTTTTTTAGAGGACTCCAAGACGAAATGCGTTTTATCAAACTCTAACGAACTTTGTTTGTTAAAGTGTTACATTCCTAAACGACTCTCTCCTCTTCAGTGTACTACTATACTCTGTTTATTTACTCTCTCACAACACAGGATATTCGTTTAGTGCACCAACATCCAGCGTGGTTTGTCTACGCTTTATTTTCAGGATGACAAAACCAACAATGCTTTGAATCAGAAATTGGAAAAACCACAGTGGGCAAAATGTGCAATATAAGGTGTGTTTGACATGATGAGGTAAGAAATACGGAAAGATGAAACCAAAGGGCCGGTTCTTAAAAGCTCATTTACTAAAACATAAAACACCTTTACTGGCGTAGGGAAAGTACAGTACACTGATCACCATCCCTTCCAACTGCTTTTTCAAATCATTCAAATACCTCAAAAAACTCATAAACCTGATATCCTTGTGACCTACAGACCGTATATAGGCGAAGTCCTCGTTCAATTTGCGGAGACTGCCAACGAAAAAGTCACACGTGTCTTTAATCATAAGATTAATGGATGGTACAAACGTATGCCTTATAGTTCTTGTCGTTCGACCCAAATTCAAGTGCTTCTTAAACTCTTTAAGCACACGTTGATGTGATTGCGGTCCTGTGACGTGGAAAATAAAATTTTTAGGAATGTAGTGCGCCTTGTGAAAATCGACCAGGTCACCAATCGCTATACGTTCGGGGCTGCCCAATATGTTATCTGCACCCAGTGAATTAGCATGCGCCTCATCAATGAGTCTCTCAAAGTTGCTGTTCTTCTCTCTCAATATTCTTTCCTGCTCGTACTCAAACGTTTTTTCTCCAAAATCCGGACGAGTCACGTACCTAACGGCATCAGGGATGTTTACGTTCCTAAAACTGAAACTGGTGTATTCTCTGGTCGTATATCCACACTGGTTCTTTCCAGAAAGTATGATGTGCTCCAGGAAATGAGCAGCACCGGGAACGTCTTTTTTGCGTGGTCTTGTTTTTATGTATGCGTTGATGTACGGGTCGCTATCAGATTTGCTTGATAAAATCAACGGGCCGTTGATGAACTTCGTTACCTTCAGAATGCTCATCGATTCAGGGATAAAAATACGAGCAGAATTTTGGACCGCAAATTGCACCGTTCAAGTGCGCGGCAGAACTGTTAAAGCGTCTTTTTCTGGAATAAAAAATACGAAAAAACTGGGTCAAGACAGCATTGAATGATGTCAATCGCGTTTAGCAATCAATTTTTTGTTCATCTGTAGAACCGTACGTGAAGAATTACCAAGGAGTAGTTGAGGTGTGTAAGGTTTGTTTAATTAGTTAAAACTGCTATTACCGGTGTTGTAGGAAGGATCTTTCTCAGTTACGCGTGGTAAAAAGGGGTACATCGGATTGTTGCAGCTAGATTAAGAAAAGAGTGAGCAAAGAAATAAATCACAGTCAAAGGGACCAAACATGGAAAACAACAACCACAAATCTTACGGACAAAACCCAACTTGTTAAGAAGTGCCACTCAATAAGGTATTTTATTTTTTGATGGCATGAGGGGGTAATAATTCCAACAAATATACTTTCAGCACACAACGCTTACGAAATGATCCATCCTTTCGCGAGAAATGAGACTGCAAGAACAGAAGGATTGCACAAACAAAATGGTAAAGATAAAATGGAAATAAAGTACGGTCAAGTATGAATAACCACACAACTCTTGTCTGAGACACTAACCACATTTATTACTCCTCATCATCCGTAAACTCGATCGAAAAGTCCTTCTTCCTCGTTTTCATCATCTCTCTTAGCGTCAGTCTCCCACCGCTCTTTACATAATATGTCTCTTTTTTCTTTCCACTCTCCTTGTCCTCCTCCTTGTCACCACATGTGCACGGCTCAACCTGCTCATTGCCACGCCTTCTAAACTTTTTAACCTTCCGTTTGGGCAGCGAAACGTCCTCAACCGCACCAAGCTTCTTGCTCGCCTCCACCAGTATCTTCCCAACTAGCTTATACTTTATGTTCTTGTACTCCTTCACGTCTTTGTTTGCACCATTAACGTTCACCTTGAAGAATGCCGTGGGCTGGTAACACAGCCCAAGGTATATTATAAGCATGTAAAAGTAGTTAAAGCCGTAGAACAGGATGTAATTGCATATATTGTAGTAGTTTATCCTGTTTTCGCTGTTTTTATAGCTCAATATAAGGTTAGTGCCACCGAGGTTGATCAGCCCCCTGAAGATCAGCGCCCCAAACTTTGCAGAATTGTCGCCGGAGCGCAAAATTATCAGATCAACCTTGTTCACAATCCGCTTGAAATTCGAGACACATGAATTGCACTGCATCAGAAGAAGGCCCAGGCCTATGCACGCATTTTGTACAACCAATGGGTTGGAATCGTAGAGCAGAGTCTCCAACAGATCGACTGCTTCGCTGTTACCAGATGCACACAGAAACAGGCCAATGGTAAGTGCCACCGCTGAGCGCACGAATGGACAATGACTGAGCACTTTGAAATTTAGGATAGATACGAGATTCTCATCCCTGACCACCATTCCCAGGCTGAGAATGGCTGCTCGCCGCACATCTTCGCTGTTGTCCTTCACCATGTTGAGCAGGCTGTCTATCACAGCAACGTTGCCGGTTTTCACAAAAAACGTGCCCAGGCACAGCGTGCCTGCCAGCCTGAGATACGCATTTTGGTTCTTGGTCAAACACAAAATGTACCCAACCAGGTTCTCCAGCGCATCGTTATTCCTGTACTCCTTGCTCAGCATGTGTTTGGAATTGGCACGGATGCCATCAATGTGCTCCTTGATGTCTCTCGTGGTCGCATTCTCTGCGCTGTGAAAGTTGTAGCTCCGCAATTCCTCAGCATTGTACATCGGGTAGCTCCTGTCGTTGAGCGCAATCAGGGCCATCGCCACAGCCGAAGAGTACGCGATACGGTTGTGCTCCGAGAACCGAATGATATTTTCAAGCTCGGTGAGCAGCTTCATGTCCATACTCTTCGCATTAATCTGTCCGATCGCATACGCAAAGCACTCAAAATGCAGTTCCTCTCGTTTCAAATTCTCGAGGAATTTGACGGTAAGCATCGCGTTGTGTGTCGCAAAGTACGCGTTCCCCATGCCCAGCGTGCTCCCGAAGAAATTTTCCGTGTCCAAGAAATTGAAAATAAAGTCGGTTTCTTTTCCTGCCAGGCCGAGCGCGTGCAATGCAGCAGATTCAGTGCTGTTCACGTTGTCAAACGTAATTTCACCGCTCTTTATTGTACTTGGCAGCAAATCCTGCAGTATCTCAATCAACTTTAGTCTTTCTCTGCTCCCACTCGATTTACTTTCCTCTTCCTCAGTGTTTTTGTAAGCTGCCTCTTCAGGATGTGCCTCTACCTCCGACGAATTGTCCGTATCGTCATTGCTGAATATGTGTATGAGCCCAAAGCACTCAATACCGATGTACTTGTTCCATCCTTTCAACCCCCTGAAGAAGTTTTCGTTTCGCCGGTAGAACGTGTCGTTGCCCGTGCACAGATTAAGAAAAGTGTTTGTGAAGATGAGCGGCAAATTCAACGACTTGATGTTTTTTTTGATTCCCTTCGCGATGCTTGAGAATATCGAAAAGTTCGTCTTGTTGTTCTTCTGCAAGAAATCCTTTACGAGCATTCGCTTGAAGTTGCCATTCAATATTTCAGCGGTAAGCGCGTTTCTCACGTGTGCTGCGACTTGCGGAAAGGCCTCACTCACATAGTACGATGCTCCGAACTGCTCCTTGACGGATAGCGATGCGATGTACTTCTCCACAGCGTGCACTGCGCCACGACATGAAAACTTAGCGCTCTCCACGTCGTTGTATGAAATAAAGCGCACGCCGTGTCTCTCAGCCTCATTCTCAATCGGAGTGTTCTCTTTGTGTTTGACCAAATCCTTGGCCTGTTCCTCATCCTTTTCGGCGGTATCGCCTTTCTCCGTGCACTTCAACAGCTCAGTGTAAATAAGAGCGTCAATAAAGTACCTGTACTCACCCCTCAGGTCCAGGTGCAGCACAAGACGATGAAACTCCTCAATTTCCATCATTCCCTTGAGAAATTCGAGCGTGTTGCCGTCCTTGACATGTTTTATCATGTCGTATCTTTTAGTTTCCATGATTATTCCCATGTTTTTCTCCTCCTCCAAAATATCCTCCACGTAAGCGATCAGCTCTGCACTCAGCGTGTCTCTGTTGTTCAGGTAAGTATCAACCAGCTTGATGTGTATGAAATGGTAGTAGAATGAGTTTTCCTTGTGCTTCCCGTTGAAATATGCAATGCTGTTCCGGTAATCGTCCCTTATGAAGTAAATCTTGGAAAGAAGTATGCTTATGCTCGTTGTATCGCCGTTTGCTGCTATTTTCTCGTGTATGTCGTGCAGCAACCTTATGTCGATGTGTGGAGCAAGTATTTCTATGTTGCCCGCTATGGTGTTGAGCGTTGCCGCAAGATCGATCGATTTTTTGAGGTTGTATTCGATGTTGGGTAAGATGCTGAGCACGTCCATGTCTTTTTCCTGATGGGTCATTTTTTTGTTTTTTTATGTTTAGCTGTGAACAAATTGCGGTGAATTTGTTTGTTTTAATTAACAGAGCGTAGGCGGTGAATCAAGCATTCTTTTTCATCGTGAGAAATGTAATAATTCGTCTTCTCGTGACCTAATGCTTTCTGTGGGGTACGTTTGACTATGAGTACCGTAAAAGCAACTGTAAAAACTGCTACTACCTCGGGTCAACAACAAAAGTAAATCCCAATTTACCAAACTATTCACCATTTTCGTATCGGAGCTCGTGTTGAAAAACATTCTGAGATGTACCCAAATATCCATAGATATAAATGAACTGAGCCTGCCATTGTTGAACAAAACACTCAAATGATTAACCAGCAGGTCTTTACAGCAGTATTAATCCTGAAGTTAGCAAAAAGGTATATTTTTCATGAAAAAATAAAGGTCTCGTTTCACAAATACAAACAGCTTAACTGGTAAACTGCTAAAAATACGAAGGTACTTCATTTTACTTTCTATAGCATTCATTAGGAACGATAATGAATGCTATTTCTGCCCTGTCCCGTAGGCAAACCGGCACACACCACATTTTGTA